TTTTTTTAATATTTATTTTTTAGTTATCGGCGGACACAACATCGTTGTTTGTATGTGGTGCTGAGGATCGAACCCGGGCTGCACGCATGCCAGACGAGCTTGCTACCGCTTGAGCCACATCCCGAGCCCAGCACCTTCCTTCTTGATGCTGCTACCTAGTCACCAATCACTGTTAAATGATTTAGAGACCACCTCACAAGCTCTAGGAAACCTGCCTCCTCTTCTGTGGAGAAGCAACGGTACCCCCCTACCATGTCTCCTACATCCATCCCCCCAACAAACAGACAGACAGACTCATCTCCAATAATCACTTGTGAGAACAGAAGGCAAACACATGGGTTATTTTTCCTCACTCTCCAGCCTTCAAGATCACTCCAGGCTTTCCCTGGGACAATTCTGGATGTCATCACCAATGGGATCTGAACACCAGCAGGTTGGTGGGCATCCAAATGCATAGGGCACTTAGGATCAAACTCTGGCTGGGGTCACTTGGGGGCACTGTTGCCCAACCAGGGAGATGGGACATTTTGTCATGAAGTCACTCTCTGTCTTGGGTTTCCTCATTGTCCCTTGCCCATTTTCCAATGTGGAGGCTGGAAGTAGTGGAAATTCCATTGAGAAGAGAGAAGAAGCTGTGGGTTGTACAGTGGGCCAGCGCATCTCCCAGGTATGGACCTGACTGCCACTTCACACATACACCGTTGGCCCTCTTGCAGGGCAGGCCACTTCTAAATTGTGAAATGACTAACTGCTGTTCCCCAACCCCAGGCAGTCATATTCTAAGAAAGCTCAAAACAGTGACACCTGTCACTTGACATGCTGGATCAACCTCTGCCTGGACCTGCTTCTATTATCGTCAATCCATCAGGAGACTAACTTTTCCAAGTTACTCTGCACCAAAGAGTATACTAGATTATGTTTTAGTGGAAATTCCAGGAGATCCTGGAAAAAAAAATTACTCTGAGTAGGACTTAAGGATTTCAGGAAGCAAGGACATGGATGATGTCCAAGATTAATAAGGGAGAGGCCAAATCCTTAGGAATACAGGCTAATCGACAGACCTAGCAAACAGTGTAAATGAACAGGAAAGAGCAGGGACATCTGGGTAGGTGTTTAACCTTCCTAAAGACAGCTAACTCTGTGTGACACCTGCAATCTTTCCGCAATCCAATTGCTGCAATAACCCCAGCTACTGGCCTCAACGACACGGAAGGACCAGCCAGCCGGGAGCTTCCCGATTCTGGGGGGCATATTCTTCCAGACACCAAGCGCCTCGCAACAAGTGGGGCCGAGGCCCGC